GAACATGTCGACCCGCAACTTTTGTTGTCTGTTTGAGTTCGACCGAAAAGGTGTGATTTACACTATATTTCTGCCGAAGGGACCGGATATCAGGTTCGAGAGTTCGAGCGATGGGTGTTCAAGCGATCCGAGGTAGAACAGTATATATTATATAGGAATTTTGCCAGGACTGGGCGATGAGTTCAAGCGAAGGGAGGTATGTGAGCGATCTGAGTTCGAGCGAACGAAGTTTAACTGTACTACAAGACTTGTGTTTTTCCTCCCAACACTTTTGCACATGGATTCAGGGGACCTTTGAAGTATGAACATTAGCACAACAATCAATACCAATATTTTTGAATATATGCTATTTCATTACTGTTAAAATATACAATCTTATAGTTTAATATCTTTGTTTTTTATGCTTTTAAGTTATTGTCAATTTTGTCACTTACTTACTTACTTACTTACTACAATTTTACAATATTAATGATTTTTTAGAAAAGATACTCTTTCAGCTTTGTGAATGGGGGCCCTATTTCAGCCCAAAAACTGTGTGAAAAATAACAAGAGGGCCATGATGACCCTGAGGTCGCTCACCTGTATAGAGGACCCCTGGAGCTGGGCCAGTTTAAACCCCAGGGCTTTTATTTACACAAACTTGGAAGACACCCATTAGAAGATGTTTCATGATCTAGCTCTAGCTCATTGGGTTTTTTCAAAGAAGATTTTTTATGTTCTTACTATACACACATAAGGAAAATCAATGATATCGGGGCGGGGCCAATTATGACCCCAGAGCTTTTATTTGAACAAACTTTGTAGACACTTACTAGAAGATGTTTCATGCTTTATATCTAAACTCTAGCTATTTGGGTTTTTTCATAGAAGATTTTTTAAGTTTTTGCTATACACATATAAGGAAAAAAAATGACCCCCGGGCCAATTTTGACCCCAGGGCATTTATTTGATCAAACTTGGTAGACACCCATTTGAACATGTTTCATGCCAAATATCTTAGCTCTAGCTCTTTGAGTTCTTTAAAAGAAGATTTTTAAGTTTTTACTATATGCATAAAGGGAAAATCAATGACCCCCTGGGACGGGCCAAATTTTGACCCCAGGGCTTTTATTTGATCAAACTTGGTAGACACTCATTAGAAGATGTTTCATGCTAAATATCTTAGCTCTAGCTCTTTGAGTTCTTTAAAAGAAGATTTTTTAAGTTTCTACTATATGCATATAGGGAAAATCAATGACCCCTGGTGCGGGCCAAATTTTGACCCCATGGCTTTTATTTGCACAAACTTGGTAGACACTCACTAGAAGATGCTTCATGCCAAATATCTAAGATCTACCTCTTGGGTTTTTAAAAGAAGATTTTTAAAGTTTTTTCTTTCGGTTGCCATGGCAACCAGAGTTCTGCATGGAATTAAATTCTTTGAACAATTTTTAAAGGTGACCACCAAAGGAACATTCCTGTGAAGTTTGGATGAAATTGGCTAATTGGTTTATGAGTTGCATTTAAATTAAAAGTTTACAGACGGACGACGGACAAAAAGCGATCACAAAAGCTCACCTGTCACTTTGTGACAGGTGAGCTAAAAACAATAACAGAAACACTAAATTAATATATAAATTCATTTATGTGAATCCCTTTAAAGTTTCAAAATAATATTTTTTTATCAAGCCCATTCATATTGCAAAGCAGTACAATTATCGTAAATGAAATGTCTTGAAATATTACTATGATTCAAATAGACACGGTCCATTTAGACACGGTCACAACTGAGAACTTGACAATTTTTGGTACTTCTAAATAAATCACTTGCTGATACCAAAATTATTGTATACTACCTACATAATACATGGTAGAACTTCTGTAAAATTCCTTACAAGTCTTTCCCTTAAAAAAAGGCTCCACATGCTTTTTAAAATGGAAAAAAGCTACTCATCAAAGTGCTGTACTCATGAGTAAATTGATTATTTTATTCAAATCCATCAGAATCCATTTATTTAACAGTAAACACAACAAGAGCTGTCACTGGCTACGGGAAGCTCAACTAATAAATTACTGGACGCAGTAAGGAAGAAAAAACTACGAAAGAACAAGAGCAGGTAGAACCGGATGATGCTCCCCGAATAGGTTTTTTATACAGGAAAGTATACCTTTTGTATTGTCAGAGTTATGTCACAGACAAAGTTAAAAGTAAAAAACAAACCCTAATGTTGTTTGCGATACGTCATCTCAATATGGTGATCATTTCTGTGAAATACTTGTAAAATCCAACTTCAAATAACCAAGTTAATAGCCGGACACGATTGTGCTGCAAGGTCATGCTGTGACCTTGACCTTCAAAGTAGCGACCCAAACGTTGCGTGCAGCACGTTCTCTCAATATGGTGATCATTTCTGTGAAATAGTTGTAAAATCAGACTTCAAATAACAAAGTAATGGCCCGGACTCTATTTTGCTGCAAGGTCAGGCTGTGACCTTGACCTTCAAGGTAGCGACCCAAATGTTGAGCATCATACGCCGCCTCAATATGGTGATCATTTCTGTGAAATAGTTGTAAAATCCAACTTCAAATAACAAAGTGATGGGCGGGACACCAATTCCTGACATACATACTAAAGGACTGACCGATGGACGGACAGACAACCCGACGACTATATTCTCCCCCGAAATTTTTTCGGGGAGCATAAAAATCAATTATGCATAATTATGTATTAAGTTATAGCATTTGTTAACATAAATTCCAAGTTCAAGGGGGAATAATTCTGAATATAGTCATGCTAGAGTTATGAACCTTGTCACACAATATGTGTGTAATGATAAGAAATATATTTGAAGTTTGAAGCAGATACCTTAAAAAGAAAGAAGTTTTAATATTTCTTAAAGAAAATCCTAAGTTCAAAGAGAGATAAATCTGAGACTATTGCTTCATGAGTTATGAAGTTTGTCACTCACATAAGATTTAATTGATGATAAGGAATAAGTATTTGAAGTTTGAGGTAGATACCTTTAAAACTAAAGTAATATTATAAAAATAACATTTTTTAAGTAAAAAAATCTAAGTTTATGGGGAGATAATTCTTGCAATATTGGTGCTAGAGTTTTGAATCTTGACATATAAAATGTGAATGATGAAAAGGAACATAAATTTGAAGTTTATTTCAATATAAACAAGCAACAAAATCATGTTCAAATACTGTGAACACAATTATGACCTAACTTTTGCTGTTCAAATACTGGCCTCAAACATACTTGGCATAAAAATATAAACTAGTACTGGCAGTTGGTGGAAAATGTAGCGAAAAAATTGTTCCAATGCCCGTCTTTCTTCTAAGGGCCACAGATAAAGTTGATTCAATAGTCCACAATTTGCCACTCTATTTGCCATAGCAAACTCTGCCACATAGCGGCAGATTAATGGGAAGGGAGATAATTACTGTGTGTACAGTTACATGACCATATTTTCTGCTGATAAAGATAACTTAACCTCAAATAGCATTACTGACCTGCCCTTGCTAAAACAGTGGTCGCCATAATAATTCTACATATAAAATGACTTTTTATTAACATGAATGATTCAAATGAACCAATTCATACTTCAGTACAAGCTTCTTATCTAAAATTTTCTAATTTTTAACAGAAGATAAGCAAGACAACAACAGTTCGTTATCAGAAAAATCTAGCAAACTCGGTGAGATAGATTCATATTTGACATATTTTTGAATAAGGTCACATTGAAAACAGCTATATATTGAGGCTTTTATCTGGTGACATAATGTAATCTAAAGGTGATATTAACTAAACAATGGTTTCTTCACCACTCAACTACTCTAACAATGGTTTCTTTATGACTCAACCACCCTTTATACAATGTATTTCTTTACGAGTCAACTACTACAACAATGATTCTTTACCACTCAACTACTCTAACAATGGTTTCCTTATGCATCAAGCACGCTAACAATGTTTTCTTTTACTACTCAACTACCCTAACAATAGTTTATTTATGACTCAACTACCTTAGCAATGGTTTCTTTATGAATCAACCACCCTAGCAATGGTTTCTTTATGGCTCAACCACCCATGCAATGGTTTTTTTATGGCTCAACCACCCTAGCAATGGTTTCTCTATGACTCTTTTACCATAACAGTGGTTTCTTTATGACAGAGATTTTCTTTACCACTCAACATTTGCCCAAATATAGGGATATTAACCTCTTACTTGCACCACTGACCTGCCCTTGTATAATCTAAGATAATTCTAAATTGGTAAAAACATATGAGGGGGACGGTTTAAGAGTTTGTTTTCTAATTTAATCATAGAAATAGACATTTCATACACATACTACTTTCGAATGTTTTTCACAAGTCCAACAGTTACTGCAATGAGCTCCTCAAAGATGGTTTAGAACAACTAAGCAAGTAAAGGCCTGTATGTATGTACACATATATAAGGGTTCAAGTTTGTCCTGCCTATAACTCTGCTATGAATGATAGCCAGATTTCCTAAAAATTAAATATCCACACATGATTGCCTGAAAATGATAGTGAGCTGCACACAATATTTAAATCAACATTTTAAAGGAGAGAGTATACGCTGAGGGCTGAAGGTAAAAATCTGGACATATTTTGCATGCCTGTGCTTACAGCGCCCTCCATCCAATTTGGGGGAATAAGGTTGCTACACTTAGCAGGGAGAATGTCAGTGGATGGGGGAAATTTTTCATTTTTTTTTGGTCAATTATCAATTAACAACCACTTATCGACTTAAATATCATTGTTTTATTGCGATATAGTTTGACTTTTTATTGTGAAACATTTTGAGAACGAAAGTCTTCCTGTGCAGACCTACACAACCTGAGGCTAAACAAAAACAGAATAAATTTTCAATTTTTACTACAAATAGTCAAGCTACGTAATTACTGTTTAACATTGATGTAAAGCATCGCTGAGTCAAATCTATAATCTATAAGTTTTTAACATAATAAGCAATTCTACTTTGCACCGATTTGAAAAAAATTGCCACAAACAGAAAATTTAGAACGCTTTTTCACCAACCCTCATTACAACTTCTTATAAGTCCAAAGCCTTTGTGTAGCCACATTTCATTAAGCGATAAAGAAGTCAAACTTTAGGTAAACATTTATTTAAAAATTTTATTTAAAGAAATCATTTTTTTTATCATTTAAACTTAATTTTGCATAGCAGTGGTACAAGGTATCAAAGCACAATAGTGTATAAGTAGAATTTTCTTATTCAATTATTGTTAAAGCTTTTACATTTCATGATGGATTACTTAATACAAATCTGTTCTATCACAAGATGTCACTGCAGCAATGCTTAATTGATACATTATTTAATTAATGAACTCTTTGCCTGCTAGCTGCAACTAATTCTACATCTGAAACCAGTGCAGTTTGCACTTACTTGCTTTCTGATTAAGGTCAGTCAGTACTAGTCACTATTCAGGAAGTACATATTTTGAAATTTTTTGTTTTGTTCAGATTGAAAGGTAGACAAGTCCATTTAAGATATCAGGTATTGGTTAGGGTATTACACAAGTTTACTACAATCAATAACTTCTATTCCCTACAGGCATCATGAAGTACGAGCTCCTGCTGACCGTTCTTGCACTGGCATCTACGTATGCCTTCTCTATCCACATGGGCAACATTGAAGAGAAACTCCGCCTTTTGAACCCATCTTTAATGATGATGGAACAACTTTTCAACCTCCAAGACGAGAACCAGTGTCTTGAGAAGATGTTTTGCTTACTGGAGACAGAGATGGCAGACGTCATAAATAACCCTTTGAAACACTACTCTCGAGTATTTACCAACATTCATAATGACATTGATCCAATAGCCTTCAAGGAACTAAAGGCCCTGCTATCGAAGTATCCTCATATTTCAAAAATGGTGCACTCAATGTCGCTCGGTCAAGTCGCTGGGGAGAGTAAAGTTTGTCAAGAAAACTACAAGTCATGCCAAACTGATAAAACCCAACTGCTCCAATTTGCTGCACTGATGGGAGATGATCTTGTTGATAAATATATTCCGGGTCAACACGACTACCGCAAAAGAAATGGAGATGACGTCTGCAAAGGGGTGAAAATTGGTTGCAGCCTTGCTGGGGGTGGATGTGCGGCATGTGCTTTATTAACGGAAGGAGCATGTGCAGCCATCTGTGTGCCTGCACTCGGTGGTACTTGTGCTGGTATAAAATTGGGCTGTATCTTTGGTTAATGTCTGTCTTGTACCCAACAAAAATGCAATAAAAATATGCATTACTGCCAATGCTTTTATTCATTACTTTGATGCAATAATATAATATATTATATTCAAATTTTTTTCAGTCATTAAGAAAAATGAGAATGTCCACAGCAGCTTATATTTTATATAAATGACCTTGAACTTTAAACCAACTAACCTCAACAACAGAGGTCATCTATAAGTGATGATTAACTTCTACATAAAATATTAAGATTGAAGGCCAAAGCCCTCTCTGGTTATTGGTAGGACTAATGATTCTGGACTTTTCCTAGCCAGTTGGAAAATACTACCTAGTCCCGTCCGAGCAAAAATTGCCTTATTGAGAAAACTATTTAATTTTCAATTTTCTTAATCCACTGTGTATGGTACAAAAAAGTCTATGTACCTTTTTGACAGTATTTTGAATTGTGCAATATTGTTTATTTTAACCACCAACAATTGCAAATGAAGCATAACAAATGAAATCTTAGAATGACAAGCAATTATCATAGTATTGCAAGCAATCCATAAGTCCCCTACCGGTTAGAATCCCAGCAACATTCTGATGGGCCATTGGCCATTCAATTTTACAAGTGAATGAATGACATGAATGAACTTAAATCTTTCGAGTTCAAGTTTGTCTATATCACAGTAATGTGTTCAGTTTCCCTGCCTAGTAAGGAAAATATGTTTATATAACCTTGTCAAATTATTACGATGTGGGTTTTTAAAGTATCCTATAATGATTGAAGAAGTTGGAGTAAAAAATACCAATTTCTCAGAAAAAATCTAAGTTCAAGGGGGACATAATTCTGGAAATAGTCTTGCTAGAGTATTTAACCTTCTCAAAAATGTTGAGTGATAATAAGAAACATATATATGAAGTTTGAAGTAAATACATTAGGAAATAAAGAAGTTATTTAAAAAAGACATTTTTTTTTTCATAAAAATTCTAAGTTCAAGGGAGGTAATTCTGATAATTTTTGTGCTAGAGTTGTAAACCTTGTCACATATGATGTGGTTGATGACCAGAACTTATATTTAAAGTTTGAAGTAAACACTTTAAGAAATAAAGAACTTATAGTGAAAAAGCTGAAAAATTTAAATCAGAAATCTTGAAATTCAGGCTATTTGTTGCCATAGTAACCAGAATTTTCAACATAAGAAGAAAAGAAAAAGATGTGCATAATCTCCAGACGGCCATCTACCCATATTTCAAGTTTTCATAAAAATATTTTCAGTACTTTTTGAGTTATCACTGGATCCAGTTTTATGTGTTAAATTTGCCATATTTTCAGACTATTTGTTGCCATAGCAACCAGAATTTTCAACATAGGAACAAAAGAAAAACATGTGCATAATCTCCATACTGCCATCTATCCATATATCAAGTTTCATAAAAATATTTTCAGTACTTTTTGCGTTATCGCGGGATCCAGTTTTGTAGACAGACTGACTGACGGACGTTCTAACAGGAGAGTAATAATGTGGCTACTCTATTGTTCTCTCTATTGTTCTTTTTAGCCTCACAAAAGAAAATAGCCACATAAAAGCATTACGGAATGAATGACATCAAAGAGAAAGAACAGTTACCTATTGTCCCTCTAGCCACATAATTACTCTCCTGCGAGTGCGGACTGACAGACGGACGGACGTTCTAACAGGAGAGTAATTATGTGGCTACTCTATTGTTCTCTCTATTGTTCTTTTTAGCCACACAAAAGAAAATAGCCACATAAAAGCATTACGGAATGAATGACATCAAAGAGAAAGAACAGTTACCTATTGTCCCTCTAGCCACATAATTACTCTCCTGTGAGTGCGGACAGACAGACGGACGGACAGATGGACGGAGGAGGGTAAACCTAAATCCCCTCTGGTTAAACCGGTAGGGGACTAAAAATGCAAGAAAAATCAAACAACAAATTGTTGAGACTCAATAAATGTAAATATTTGTGCATTACAATACCAGGGCCGGCAAAATCTCAGAAAATTGTACTTGTCCACGGACAAGTAACCTAAGAAATTTACTTGTCCGTACTCAATGTTCACTTGTCCGTATTTATATTTAATATTTACTGCAAATGTCAATAAAAAGAGCAATATGATTATGAACTTTCTTTCAATTTTATTAAACATTCTATGCCATATGTTTAATAATATAATATATTATGATTGTAATATAATATATTTATAAAATGTTAACGGCAGTAGATTAAAGTAGAACGACAGTGATGGACAAATTGTGTATATTTTACTGGAAGGAGCATTGGTCTTTTGCCAGCACTTTTTCAGTTTTCCTTGCACCCAAATTGCTCTAAAATATTATCTTCATTGTTTTGCACTCTGGTATTATTTCTTATTTATTCACTCCTTTTTCTATTCATCTATATAATATTCATTTCAATGATTTGAATCCTTTTAAAAAATCATATGTACTCTTGAGTTAGATTTGTCAAATTGATGACATCTGGCTTTTTTTAACGATATAATTATGATTGCCACAGAATGTAATATCATATACGTACGTATATACGCTTGGTTGCAGCGGATGAATTGTGAAAATTTTGACATCATTACCATCGGCAACGATAAAACTGACATGTATACATTAACACCAGTATTAGACATTCAAAAACAAAGGCATTTTCACAAGAAATCTTTACATAAAATAAATTATAAAATGACTTTGTCCACATAAATTCAAGCAGTCAAATTGCCGATATGAGCGTAAATATTACCAAATGACCTGGAAAAGCTATACAATGTATTTAAATTTCATTCTACACAGCGGTATTTCAAAGACAATTGTTGCGAGATTGATGCTGTGTCCGATGATCTAAACAATAAATGCGATTGAAAAGACCACAGCTTCCAATTCAATTTTATGGCAGAACCCCGTTGCTACCGAAAATATTTTATTGCAGAGGCTAAGTTGGCAGTCATAAACCAAAACAAACATATACCCTCAATAATTAGTTAATTGCCGCGCGCATGCAGTAACTGCATGACGTAAGGAAAACCCCAAGCTTGGTTGGTCGCTATTTATGTAAACACTTAAAATAGTAACACCCTAATATGCACGGAATGCCCTCATGACAGACACCACACTTCACACGCTAGTTTTCGTATTAAATGTGTGATTTTCCTTCTGATTTAGATCTATTAGAAAAGAACTAGATTTTTTTCTTCAGAATTCCTCTTTTAGCCGCAGAAATTTACTTGTCCACGGACAAGTAAACTGCATAATTTTACTTGCCCGGACCTACAATTTTACGACTCGGGCAACTCGGACAATTGATTTTGCCGGCCCTGAATACCAGGATAAACTGGCAAATTAATCAGTTTTGGATATTGGGAATTTCAAATTAATAGATATTTTTTTTTTAAAGTCATGACTTACCTTCACATCAATTCTTAGGATGGTAGGCTGTTGCATTCTTTAGTCAATGGTTGGACAAGCTTATAGTGTTTAAGGCCATGTTGACTTTAACCTTTGACCTCAAAATCAATAGGGGTCATGCACTAGTCATAATAACCTCCACACCAAATCTAGGGACTGTAGGCCAAAGAGGTCAATAATGATCAACGCTCTTCTTTTAATGTTTAAGGGGAATATTTCAAAAAATAGGGGAAGTCATATCATCACTAAGGTTTCAAAGCAATATCCTAAACGGTGTATAAAAACTTGGTGGTCAGAAATCATAATTAAAAGTAGTAAAAGAAGTACTGTCATCTTAAAATTTACAAGATATTATGCCCGCAAGCCGTGGTGATATCAAACACAATTTGATAAAGTTTCAAAGTAATGGTGAAAAGTCAGGACATGCAAACACCATTAAGATAATGAAAGGGGCAAAATAGACTTACTCCCCGGATAAGAAAATTTTGGGTTTTCCCAGCTTAATCCAGCAGTACAAACAAACTTTTACAGTTGCAGTTTTTGAAAATTTAAATAAGCATACGAGACTGAATTATCTATTGTAAAGGGTAGCACACCTTGAAGCTATTACAGTAAAAATTTGTTTGTACTGGGGGATTACCTTGTAAAATCCCTTATTGCCGAATTCAGGATAACAACTATTCCGTAAAAATTCACAATATGGTTATATACTCTTGCAATCAGGAAAAAATTATAATTCGGGAAAAAAACTGTTTTTTTCAAACCCAAAAGGGAAATTTTTAAAAATTTTGGCACTTAAAGTTCATCTTTAAATTTACCTAAAATTTACCCAAAAGTTTGAAATTGCGTTTTTTCCCCTTTAAATCCAAATAACGGGTTTTGGAACCCGGGGAGGATCATAATGACCCGCCATTTAAAGGGCAGGAAAATTGGGTTCTTTTCCCCAAGGGGACGTTTTCTGGCACACCTTTCGTGCTTGCCAGCTTAGGATGTCAAAATGGCCCCAAACAAGTTGAAGACCAACAAGATCCTTCAATGCATCTATAATCAAAGTATCATGATATGGTTAAGTAGTTACATTAAACCTAAATGTTTGCCCGCTTGTCTCAATACCAAGAGCATAGGACTAGTAATCAAGTGTTAGCTTGCTGATCCTCAGGCAAGGCAAATTTCCTCTGTGGATCATCTTCGATCATTTGTCACCTTATGACCCACTGCTGATTCAGAAATCATGTGGAATTAGTTGTCAGTAAATTGTAGAGAACTTGGTAAATAGAAATTGAATATCCAGGAAAGCTGATTTAAAAAAGGACCCAACTTTGCCAAAATGTTATAACAAGAGGCCATGAATGGCCCTGAGGTCGTCGCTCACCTGTATATAGGGCCCCCCCACCCCCCCCCCCCCAAATTTTTACCCAAGGGCTTTTATTTGTTTATTTGAACAGACTTGGTAGACACCCATAAGAAGATGTTTCATGCTAAACATCTAAGTTCTAAGCTCACTGGGTTTTTTTTAAAAAAAGATTTTTTTAAAGTTTTTTACTTATACACATATAGTTAAAAACAATGACACCCCTGGGGCAGGGCCAGTTTTGACCCCAGGGCTTTTATTTGAACAAACTTTGTAGATATTTACTTAAAGATGTTTCATGCTTAATATCTAAACTCTAGCTATTTGGGTTTTTTCAAAGAAGATTTTAAAGTTTTTGCTATACACATATAAGGAAAATCAATGACCCCGCCAACCCCGGGCGGGGCCAATTTTGACCCCAGGGCTTTTATTTGAACAAACTTGGTAGACACCCATTAGAACATGTTTGATGCTAAATATCTTAGCTCTAGCTCTTTGAGTTCTTTAAAAGAAGATTTTTTAAGTTTTTACTATATGCATATAGGGAAAATCAATTACCCCCTGGGGCAGGGCCAATTTTGACCCCAGGGCTTTTATTTGAACAAACTTGGTAGACACTCATTAGAAGATGTTTCATGCTAAATATCTTAGCTCTAGCTCTTTGGGTTCTTTAAAAGAAGATTTTTTAAGTTTTTTACTATACACATATAGGGAAAATCTATAGACCCCCCTGGGGCGGGGTCAATTTTTGACCCCAGGGCTTTTATTTTGAACAAACTTGGTAGGACACTCACTAGAAGATGTTTCATGCTTAATATCTTAGCTCTAGCTCTTTGGGTTCTTTAAAAGAAGATTTTTTAAGTTTTTACTATATATATGCATATAGGGAAAATCAATGACTCCCTGGGGCAGGGCCAATTTTGACCCCAGGGCTTTTATTTGAACAAACTTGGTAGACATTCACTAGAAGATGTTTCATGCTTAATATCTAAGCTCTAGCTCTTACGGTTCTTTAAAAGAAGATTTTTTAAGTTTTTACTATATGCATATAGGGAAAATCAATGACCCCCTGGGGCGGGGCCAATTTTGACCCCAGGGCTTTTATTTGAACAAACTTGGTAGACACTCATTAAAAGATGTTTCATGCTAAATATCTTAGCTCTAGCTCTTATGGTTCTTTAAAAGAAGATTTTTTAAGTTTTTACTATATGCATATAGGGAAAATCAATGACCCCCCGGGTGGGGCCAATTTTGACCACAGGGCTTTAATTTGAACAAACTTGGTAGACACTCACTAGAAGATGTTTAATGCTTAATATCTTAGCTCTAGCTCTTTGGGTTCTTTAAAAGAAGATTTTTTAAGTTTTTAATATATGCATATAGGGAAAATCAATGACCCCCTGGGGCAGGGCCAATTTTGACCCCAGGGCTTTTATTTGAACAAACTTTGTAGACACTCACTAGAAGATGTTTCATGCCAAATATCTAAGCTCTAGCTCTTAGGGTTGTTTAAAAGAAGATATTTAAAGATTTTTCTTTCGTTGTCATGGCAACCAGAGTTCTGCATGGAATTAAATTCTTTGAACAATTTTTAAAGGTGACCACCAAAGGAACATTCCTGTGATGTTTGGATGAAATTGGCTCAGTGGTTTATGAGGAGATGTCATTTAAAGCAAAAGTTTACGGACGCCGGACGGACGGACGCCGGATAGACGGACGGACGCCGGACGAAAAGCGATCACAAAAGCTTACCCTGTCACTTTGTGACAGGTGAGCTAACAAGAGCTGTCACAGGAGACAGCGAAGCTCGACTAATGAAATACTGGACGCAGTTAGGAGGACAAAACTATGAAAGAAAAATCAATTATGTATAATTATGTATTAAGTTATAGTAAAACAAGCAATTATCATAGTATTGCAAGCAATCCATAAGTCCCCTACCGGTAAGAGCCCAAGCAACATTCTGAAGGGCCATTCACTTATGTTTCTATTTTAAGTAAATTTGTTGAAAAAGTTCTTTAAAAGTGATCACAGTGAACAGACAGACAGACAGACTGAAGGACAGTCTAAAGTTATTTTTTAAACATCCCTGTTATCAAAATATAACATTTTAAAAGCAAAATTAAAAAAAAAAGGAGATAACGATGTCATACATGATGTGAGTGTAACAAAGAACAATTAGTAATGAAGGTATGAATATTGAATATTTATTTTGAAATTGAAGTAAATGAAAGTTAAAAGAACAAATAGGAAAAATTAAAAGTTTAAGGAGGAGATAATTCTGGAAATATGGATGCTAGATTTATAAACCTTGTCATATTATAATGATGTGGGAGTTTGAAGAAAATTCTATCATGATTGAAGAAGTTGGAGTAAAAATTACCAATTTCTCAAAAAAAAGTCTAAGTTCAAAAGGGCATAATTCTGGAAATAGTCTTGCTAGAGTATTGAACACTCACAAATGTTGAGTGATAATAAGAAACATTTATATGAAGTTTGAAGTAGATACGTTCAGAAAAAAAGAAGTTATTAAAAAAAATAATGTTTTTTTTTCATGAAAATTTTAAGTTCAAGGGAGGTAATTCTAATAAATTTTGTACTAGAGTTGTAAAACTTTGTCACATATGATGTGGTTGATGACTAGCAACTTATTTTTAAAGTTTGAAGAAAATACCTTAAGAAATAAAGAACTTATAGTGAAAAAACTTAAAAAACTAGAATCAGAAATCTTGAAATTCAGTCTATTTGTTGCCATAGCAACCAGAATTTTCAACACAGGAAGATAAGAAAAGGATGTGCATAATTTCCATACTGCCATCTACCCATATGTCAAGTTTCATAAAAATATTTTCAATACTTTTTGCGTTATCACTGGATCCAGGTTATGTGTAAAATCTGCCATATTTTCAGTCTATTTGTTGCCATAGCAACCAGAATTTTCAGCATAGGAAAAAAAGAAAAAGACGTGCATAATCTCCATACTGCCATCTATCCATATATCAAGTTTCATAAAAAAATTTTCAGTACTTTTTGCGTTATCGCCGGATCCAGGTTATGTGTAAAATTTGCCATATTTTCAGTCTATTTGTTGCCATAGCAACCAGAATTTTCAACATAGGAAGAAAAGAAAAAGACGTGCATAATCTCCATACTGCCATCTATCCATATACCAAGTTTCATTAAAATATTTTCAGTACTTTTTGTGTTATCGTGGGATCCAGTTTTGTGGACGGACGGACTGACGGACGGACAGACGGACAGACAGACAGACGGACAGACAGACGGAGGGTAAACCTAAAGTCCCCTCCGGTAAACCGGTAGGGGACTAAACATAATATTTGTTAACATAAATTCCAAGATCAAGGGGAATAATTCTAGAAATAGTCATGCTAGAGTTATGGACCTTGTCACACAACATTTGTGTAATGATAAGAAATATATATTTGAAGTTTGAAGTAGATACCTTAAAAAGAAAAGAAGTTATTATATTTCTTAAAGAAAATCCTAAGTTCAAAGAGAGATAAATCTGTAAATATTGCATCAAGAGATATGAACATTGTCACATAAAATGTAATTGTTGATAAGGAATAAGTATTTGAAATTTGAGGTAGATACCTTTAAAAATAAAAAAGTTATAATAAAAAATAACATTTTTCTAGTAATAAAAATCTAAGTTTATGGGGAGATAATTCTTGCAATATTGGTGCTAGAGTTATGAACCTTGTCACATAAGATGTGGATGATGATAACGTAAACATATTTGAAGTATGAAGTTGATCCCTTTAGAAATAAATAAATAACAGAAAAAAAAAAAAAAAAAATTATGGAAAATTCTAAGTTCAAAGGGAGATAAATCTGAAAATATTGGTGCTAGAGTTATGAACCTTGTCACATAAGATGGGGATGATGATAATGTAAATACATTTGAAGTATGAGGTTGATCCCTTAAGAAATAAAGAAGAATCAGTAAGAAATAGTACTTTTTGAGGAAAATTCTAAGTTCAAGGGGAGATAAATCTGAAACTATTGGTGCTAGAGTTATGAACCTTGTCACATAAGATGGGGATGATGAACAGGTACATATATTTGAAGTATGAGGTTGATCCCTTAAGAAATAAGGAAGTAACAGTAAAAAATAGTATTTTTTAAGGAAAATTCTAAGTTCAAGGGGAGATAAATCTGAAAATATTGGTGCTAGAGTTATAAACCTTGTCACATATGATGTGGTTGATGATAAGGAACATATATTTGAAGTTTGAAGTTGATACCTTAAGAAATGACAAAGTTATAGTGAAAAATATTTTACTGCACCAAAACTTTAATCTAAAATCTGGACGCGGACGCCGAGCTGGGGCGAGTAGGACAGCTCTCCATATACTTCGTATAGTCGAGCTAAAAATGTGTTAAAATAAATGTAAACAAGAATGTCGAACGACACATATACCCCCCTTTCTAGCCATTGACTCACATAATTGGTAATTTTATAACAGAAACTTGCCAAAAATGGGTACATGGAAGTGTTCAATTATGGAAAAATCAAGGGAAACCATTTTGACATTTAAGGCCCATGTGACATTTACCTTTGACCTAATGACCCCAAAATCAATAGAGGTCATCTTCTACTAATGACCAATAACTAGGTGAAATATGAAGACTTTGTGATGAATACTTTTCAAGATAATCAGCGGAA